GTAAGAATACCAATGAGCATGGGTCAGATCTGCACTTCTGCAGCTAGATATTATCATAAGGTTAAAATAAAGAGAAAAAAAGACAAACCATCAGGCTATGTTTGATTCTAAGGTACGAGGACTGTGTTCTTGGATTTCCTAGGACCTCAATTCGACCTTCGTTTTCCCTTGCAGGTATATTCTTGTGAAGCAAGTTCGATGAGGCGAGGCAGACACTAAAGTGGTTCCCCCATATTTGCCCATGTCTTTGAGCCATAAGAGACTCGTAAGACCACGAAGCAGCCTTCATCGTATCCAAGCAGACAAGATAAGTTGGTGAATCCACCACGTCAAAAATCTGGGATTCTCTGGAGGAAGAATGTTGCTTCTCATGTAATCTCGACGCAATATCACCATCTGCAACACGCAGCAAATTAAGAACTCTAGCAAAGAAAATATCGTTTCTAGAATTTTCAAATATTTATTTTCTGCCATACCCGGAGGATTGTTTTGACTTGGGTGCAAACTGTCATCAGCGAAATCCTTGAAATGTTGCCAAGAGCATTCATCATTATTGCATCTTCCACGTAACTCGTACATGCAGAGAGGCAGAAAAGGGTCAATCTTCAAATTAGGGGTGTAAAGGTCAATTCTTCTCTCATATACTGGAGTTCTAGTCAAGCTGCTACGTTGTCTATCATCACTGTATCGGCTATATGACTTGTTATCAAGTGTATAGTCTGTTCCCAGAGACGTAATGGAACCCCCAGGAACCTTTAGATGATTAATTGTGCTCCGAAATAAAGGGCCTGCGGTAGCTACAGACAACAAAAGGTCATCCTGTGGCGACGTTTCATGGGACTCTATATCTATAGATGATCCAATATTTAGCAAATTTTCCTTGATTGTGAGGCGTTCAACTGGTGGTTCCGAGGGACTTCCTTGCAGTTTATTGGCGTTTGGCTCTGAGATTAAAAAATAGGAAGACGAGTTAAAAGAAAGTAAAGCACATGAAGAACCACTCATTTGCTATCCGCAGTTAGGCTGCAAATAACCTTTCCCCTTTTGTCAAGTGAGTGCCCAGCCAAATAACCACGTAAAACGCCAATCTCTTATATATAAATTAGTTACCTTTGGAATCACTATGTTGATTTTTTTCAGAGACAGGACTACTTCCATCTCTCTGGGTTTGTTCACTTGCAACATCTCTTTCAACCCTTCTATCTATCACAGCCTCTCCATTAGCACATGTGCCACCTCTAGATTCTTCCCGCATAATCAGACGCTCAAATAATTTAGATCTTAACGATGCTTCAATAAGTAAGGAATTCTGATTGCCTAGTGTTTGCTCAAGATTTTCTGCTTGATGCCCAATGTTCCCTTCGGCAGATTCATGGTCCACTGGAAATGACTCATCATCTGCCAAAATGTGAGCATCACTAGATGGGGAGCATAGTCTGCTTGCAGTTTGCTTGTCACTGCCAGGGAATCCATCCGAGGTGCTAGCATCAAGATCACTGCACGGCTCTGAACCCAAATTATGTCCGCTACGGGGACCATGTAAAGAATGAAGACCACCAAATTCGTTGTTATATATGTGGTTGGTTTCTAGCTGAGTATGCTGAGGGACGTCCGTTTTAGTTGCCAAATCAAGGTTTTCAGCACTATTACTCAAGAACCGAAACCCAGTTTCTGGGTGCTCATGATGCATAGAAGGCCACAACAATCTGGTGTCACGCACAATGAGAGATCCATAGTGAGCAGATAAAGTTTCTCTCTTACTGTAAAGTTCTGCACATTTGGCATTTGCCTCAATCAAAGATCTTTGTGCCTTTCTATAAACTTTGAGAGCATTTCTTTCTTCAATTTCACAAAGGCGTTTACGTTCTTGTGCTTCCTCCAGGTCTCTGTCAAGAGATTCCTCTAGGTTTGTCAAATATAGCATATCCAGTCGACTATGTCCAGGAGCAATTGTACTTCCCGGGATGTTCCAGAAGCCAGAATTGTCCAGAGAAGGCTGAATCAAGCAGAAAACCAAAAATTCAAAAGTAAGGATCATGAAATCCTACCAGCCGCCTACAACTTGTTATTTATATAGAAAAAAACCTGATGGTCTCCATTGACTGTTTTGGGCAACTGGTCACTCGACAAGTTGCTATCAACATTTTTCACTGTTTCCAGTTCTCTTGAAGTTAACTGAACAGGGAGATCTGGCTGGTCACATCTTACACCTTCAGAATGATTTGCTTTGCTCTGGAACAGAACAAAATAGAAGAAAATATGCTTAAAATTGACAAAACACTGGCCAAAGCTAGAAATAGTTTAACTAATAGTCTTAAAGTCGATAATTCCAATTCTAGTCAAGGAGAGAATGACGACACTTACTCCACTTTTTGGTAAGACACTTGAGCTTGTATTGCCTTGTACAATATGCTGAGAAATTACCGGGGGAGCAGTCTCACCACTGTTACTACCAATGTGTTTGCAACTAGCATTTGCACTGACACCTACAGAAAACACCAAAGTCATGTGAAACCAGATGTGGTGAAAAAGCAAAACATTGATTTACCTAACCAAAATAAAATTTCTAGTGAAACAGCCAGTAAGATATTCCATTTTTTTCCGTTAGTCTCACCTGAAAGTAGACTTTTACCGATGGCAGGCGCTTTCACTGGTGCAGTAGTAGATGCTGGCACTCTGTTATCAATAACAGGCTGACTTGTGTCATTTCCACTAACTTTTAAGCGCTTCTTTGCAGGTTCGTTTGGTTCGAGCTGTTTACCATTATCAGAAACCATAACGAGACTCCTTGTTTGACTGATTTTTGTGTTAACATCATCCTTCTTAGTCTGCAATGCCTTAAGCTTCCGCTCAAGTTCTCGTTGTGCAATCTGCTGCCTCAGATCCTGAAGTTTATTGCTATTGGACTCCACAATCTGTTCAGGACGCTGTGTATCTTTGCCAACCTTCCTCTCATAGGTATGGCTATTTTTCTTAATTACCTTGGGAAGCGCAAGGTTGGAAACTTTAGAAGTCGCAGCATGAATAAAGGTGCTAATGGACGATGCCTTCTTTGTTACTGCTCTGTTATCAATTTGAAATGGTCCTTTCAATTTTGTTTGTAACACCGTACACGGGTTTCTATTCCCAGCAACGGTTCCCTTTGGTTGAATCTTCGGTGCCTGCTTCCTTCCTTTGCTATCAGATTCACTACCACTATCGTCATCAGCGAAATCTATCACAAGGTTGTTGTCGCTGCCCCTTAAAGGAAGTTTCTTCCCATGTAAGGGAGCAGTAGACACCGCTTGCTTCTTAACTACCCGGCCTCCAGGGTGTGTCAGCTTCAACGGTGTAGTAGCTACAGCAGGTTTAATTAAAGATACAGAATTTCCTGACAAGTCACAAACAACAGAAATAAAAACGAGTTAGCTAGTTTCATAGGCAACTTCGAAATATAATATAAATCAATATACACAGGTTAATCATGCTCCACACGCAATGAATTAATAGCAGAAAACACACTACAATATGGACTCTCTTTCTGCTCTTATAGTTTTGATACCGATCAATGTCTATTCTAAAAACATGGCGAAGCAACAGAAGATACCGTAAGCTGAACAGGATACCGATCTAAACACTAGGATGATAAAATTGTCCTCTTGCTCATAAGTCCCTAGAAGACTTCATAAACAGTAAAAACAAAGACAAGAGCCAAGATAGTAGGATTTACTACCAGATTGAAGACGCCTTTGGATGTTAGTGTTAGCTAAAGGAACTGAGACATGTTCAGTAAGAGGAGCTCTCGTGCTTGTTTGCATAATAGGTTGTACCTATAAGAAGAAAAAAAAACAAAAAGGTTTAGGGTTCCGAATCTGCTAATGAAAAACCATTCAAGCAATACAAGGAACACTACAAGGCGTGAGAGTGTGCGAACTAAGCACAATAGAAACCCTAAAATACATTAAACACAAATCGAGAGGAAAAAAAAACACTAAATAAACGTATTCGCGAGTATGAAGAATCAATAACAGGAGATTTATGGAGTGTAGAAAAGAGGAGAGATAGGATAGTACATCTTCATCGGAAGCGGAGAGCTCGCCTTCTTCTTTTCCGGAAACCGGAGCTTGCTTCCCGGAGATTGGTGTCGTCATCTTCCTTCTACTCTCGGAGATGAAAATCCAAACCCTAAGATACGGTAATCGAGAGACGGATTTGAGATGGGAGTAATAGGAGGGAGAAGAGTTTTGCTCTCGTAAATCCCTCTAAATGATTGATTGGGTCCTCTTCTTTGGCCGCCGATGGATGGAACACGACCGAGATAACGGATTACGAAACGACTATTTTAGCCCTACTCCTCTTATATTTTATTTCGTTTTTTTTCTTACACTGTTAATTGCGCTGTTAATTACTCTGTTGACTGTTGTTAATCTGTTTTTACTACCATGTTAGTTTTACCCGGGTCAAAAGAAAAAAAAAAAAAGAAAATGTTGTTCAGGTACTTTGTTTAGGTTTGAATACGTTTTTGTGAGTTTTATGGGTTCGATTTTCTTACTGTCATTCGAGTTGTTGACAAACAAAAAAGTGTCTTTCATTCAAGCTAAAAAAGCAAGAAGTAGAGGCTATTCATTTTCTCATATAGATCAGATCTGATAAGACGGAATTTCTCCTCGGAGAATCAATTCGACTGATCACCACTTAATCTAGAGTATATGGACAGCTGACAAAAAAAAAAAATGTTCAGATATATTTTATAGTTCTTTATAAGATTTTTTAAAAATCCAAGCACATTTTGGAATCGTTTATAATACTTTCGGATTTAATGTATTTCAATTGGATTAAAATAAACTTAAAATTCAGTATTTAGTGTACTTATAGCTGAAAATTTCATTACAAATAGTTAGTTACCCGATTGGGTTCAATCTAAATTTGGATAATACCTGATATTGATATCTGAAATATCTCACCATATACAATTTTGGATATTTTCACATTTCATCTCAGATTTGATATGGATTCAGGTTATAAATGCTCAAACAGGCTATGAACAAATGGAATTGTGCTGATCCCATTGTTGATTCAAATTGACTAATGTGACGCATTGATCCAGCAAATAAATTCTAGTATGATTACAAAATCTAAAAATACAGATTGTGTTACTCGTCCCTAATGTACAAACTGCAGCTTACATGTGCAGGTTTTCGCTATTCGAACCTGGCTCTGCCCAATTCTTCACGTCCATCGCACATTCAACACACACTGTGACTCCTTTGTAACCAACCACCTAGTCAGCTCGCGCAGACTCAACACAGGTACATATGATTTCGATTAAACCAAAGTGAGTTACAAACCATTTCATTGCAATTGCGCTCTAATCCATTTTTTTTACAATTTTTCCAAATCTTTACAACGCAACTCAGCTTAAGCTCCACCACAAAGGCTAATCAAACCACCCTTGAAACAAACCTCTTACTTAACCCTTCATCGAGCCATGACTTGGTTTCTTTGGCCCCTCTTGAGTAGGATACAACGTTCAAATCTCTCATTCACTTTTCACCAACCCATAAGTGTCTTTGTCACTTTATCCACTACCTGATTCCTCGCAATGAGGCTAGCCAATGGAAACTCACGACGCTCCTCCAAAAGAAACCTATACACTTCCCATTGTCTATCCAAAGTCGAATGCCTCCCAATCTCAGCCTACAAAAGCAACACAACTCACAACATTTTATAACTCGGTCCAAAAAACTCATACTATATATAATATAGTATATACTTACGGAGAAGATGCAGATTCCAAGTGACTTCAAAGCGAGTGTGACATCGTAGAAAACTCGTGGTCTTCCTTTACCAGATAGTTCCACAGGGTTGGCTACTAATAGCTCAGAATCTGGTCCTCGGTTCACAATTATAACTCTCAAAGGACACGATATCTCCTCCTTAAGACGAGAACAAAAGTTGTCTTGATGTTTCGAGTCAGCTATCTTCTTCCCATCCGTACCTCTCACAAACAAGTCTAGATTCCTATACCCTTTAACCTTCGATGAGAATCTACCGTAAGCAATCTGTATAAAGAAACAATCAGTTATACAAAAATCTTTAAGGAAGAGGCTTAGACGAGTGTTGAAAACGTTACATGAACGTCGCAGTCTTTAGAAGTCCTGAGGATATCGTAGAAAAGCCCCTTCTGATCGATACAGTTGATATGAAGTAACGTATGCGCAGGGCTCAAGTGGTTATCAACCGTGAGAACTACTTTGTTGGAAAGGGAACTAATATCCGAGCCAAAGAGCTCATCTGCAGCCTCAGGTGGGAGTGAAGAGAATCGTTGAAGACTCTCTAGCTCCGGACCAGCTAGTTCAATCTCGCAGCTCACACCGTGTTCTCCGAGCACAGCTGTTAGATGGTCACAAGTTTTGGTTTGTCTCTGCTTCGTGTGCAATAGATCCCTGTTGCACAACACAACACTTAGTTTTTTTTGTTCGTTTTCTAGGTGAAATATAAGAAACAGAGGAACTGAACTCACATTGCATCAGTGATGAAAAACATGTCTAGAACTCTTCCGTCTGGTGTTGTCGTGACTTTGACTCTTTGGATAGTAAACTCCAGCTCTGTCAGAACTTTGGTAACATCTACAACCACCGAAAGAACCAAACTTTATAACCAAAGCATTAACACAAAACCAAGAAACAGAGACGAAAACAGAGGGAAACAACAAACCATGAAGCAGTCCTTTCCTGTCGCGGCAGAAGAACTTGAGGAGATAAAGAGAAGGAGGCTTAGAGACATTAGAGGACTGAAGAGAGGAGTAATAGGAACCCAAGCAAGACGGACAAGCAGACAAAAGACGGTTCTTCAAACTGTCCCAATCGAATCTAGAAGAACCGTTATCAGGACTGACCCAAAACACTATGTAACACCATCTTCCATCTGTTGAAAAATCTGTAGCAAACCCATTTTCACAAACATCAAATTTAAATTAATCAGATATTTACATAATAAATTGAATTGAAAAAGGTAGAAACTTCGAATATTCGTAACCGACAAAACAGAGTATATTCCCTCCGTACAGATAAAAGACAAAAAAAGGAAGATAAAGATTAAGACTTTAATACCTGCTTTGGTAATGGAGAGACCGAACTCGAGGATGATTCTACAGAGAGTTGAACCGAGACCTGATTCGTCTGGACAATTCACGGTAACCATGGTGGGATCGCCGGAGTTTTTCCCCGATTCGATTAAAACGGCGTCGTCGTTGAGAATTCCCATTTTTTTTGGTAGCCAATTAAATAAAAAAATTCAATGGCTGCTCCGAACAGAGGATTAAAAACAAAAACAAAAAAGATCCCTCAGAAAAGGAGAAGAAGAGACGAAGATAGAAATATATATGTGAGAAAATTTATTTTTATTTTGTTTTGGGTTAATTAGGGTTGTCAGGTTGCTGAGTGGGACCTACATGTCTAGTCATACACACGTATGAGGAAAAGAAAAAGCTGGGTTAGGCAGTGGACACGTACCATCTTAATCTTTCGTAAGAAGGGTGTTATCGTAATTTCAGGTTGGACAAGCTGTGCTCTGTAAGACGGTCCGTAGATCTTAAGGTAGATGGATAATATTAGATATTTTTCTTTGTGGAATTGTTGATACAACAACAATCACGGGTTGTATGATTTGTAATATAAAAATACAGATGATGATAATTGTAGGGTTTTTTTTAATTAATAAATTCTGTGGTGGGAAAGAAATTGTTTCTATTTTTAATTCGTTCACTTGTGTTTTAGATCTTTCGTTGAAGCTGGGTGGGAAGTGGGGAGATAATATTAGTTTACTTATATTTTTAAGACGTGTTTAAATAGAATTGCAAAGAAAAAAATATATAAATGCAAAGAACAAAAAAAATAGAATGAAACCCTGTTTGTGGATTAGTCTACTTGTTTTTGGGTGTGTCTACATGTGAAATAACCTAATAGTAAATAGAAATGCAAATAAAAAAAAAACAGAATGATATACTACTTGTGGATTAATCTACTTGTTTATGGGTGTGTCACCATACATGTGAAATAATCTAATACTAGTTGTTAGAATGAAATCTCCCAATTTTTAGAATATAGATTTGGGACAGTGATGTTCTTCGGAAAATAGTTTCTTGTTCCTTAAAAAGTTTTCCATGAAAGTAATTTAGTTAAACAACCAATAAATAAGAGAAACTAGAAGATGTATCCTCATAGCAAGGCAATAAAGATGGATTTACCAGCCTGAAAATAGTTTGCGGTATTGTTTGTAGGGGTGGAACGGATCGGATATCCGGGGTATTTTAAGATATCCGGATCCGGATCCGGATTCGGCGGATCCATAAAATTACTATCCGGATTTGGATCCGGGCCATCCGGATATCCGGGATCCGGATATCCGGACTAAAACTCGGATACCCGCGGATATCCGGATCCGATTTATTTAAAAAAAAAAAATAAAAAACATTAAAAATTAAAAATTTAGTATTTATTTATTCTATTAAAAAATATTATTTTGGAAAAAAGTTAAATTAAAATAATAGAAATTACTAAAAAAATTAAGTATTAGTTATATTTAATAAAAAATATATAATATACAATATAAATATAATTATATTTTAAATATTTTTTAAAATATTTAGTGGGCCCGGATCCGGATCCGGATATCCGGACCGAAAATTTCACTATCCGGATTCGGATCCGGATTCGCCGGATCCGTGAAATCACTATCCGGATCCGGATCCGGACCCCCCGGATATCCGTTTTTTCGGAGCGGATCGGATCGGATCTCGGATCGGATAGCGGATAGCGGATATTAAGTCCCAGCCCTAATTGTTTGTGTACTTAGCTTAGAGTTGAGACGGAAGACAAATAGATTATCACAAAAAAACATCTGAAAGGCTCATTGAAACAATCAATTGTGTTTTTGGTAGAATTTTGTATGCGAGTCCCCATGACTGTATGCATCAAAAGAATCTTCATAAAATTCATCTAATATGAGTTATTGAGTTTACCCTCGGATCTGGTTACCCAACTGCAGAGCCTTGATAATCGACCCCATGTGGGTTAGACATCTAGTAACATCCAAACACATATTCAAATGCTTTGAAAATCATACTACTTGTATACTTATGAGACTAACCGACAAAGCCTACAATACGTTTGGATGGCCTGTTCAGGCATGTGAAGAAACAAATCTAAGTAAATATAACGTTTTCCGATGCATTAAGATGGAAGAGAATAAATTTCTAAAGTTCATAAGTTCAAGAGAACAAATGGATATTCCAAGAAACCAAATGGTAATATATGAAATGCTACGTATAAAATGTGTGATTGGTCGAGGGAAGAGGCTGGATATATAATTGCTGATGCACATCACGAACATTATTGAAGTTGAATCACTGACACTCGGATTTGGTGCGGAACTTTCTGACTATGGCAAATCTAATAATAATCAACGCATGAAGAAGTGCAAAACAAACAAATCTCACTCTTATCAGTGCATATGCGTCACATGGGTTGAAGTCTTTATTTGCTATATATACTCTATAGTGTTTTGAAAGGGAAACTATTTGAAGATAAATGTAAATTCTGACTTATCAAAATATAAAAATAAATGTAAGTTCTTTTTTTTACAAGAGAGTGTAAACTAAAGATCACAAATACTTTTCTCTTAAAAAAGGAAAAGGTCAGCCGTGGCTTTCTTTGAGGGTAAAATGTCATAATCATTTCAGGCATTTTTATTGATTAAAAGAAAGATCTTATAAACCGAAGTTTCCTTTAACCAAACAAAAGCTATATAGTTTCACTTTCACACTTCCCTATATAACACTCTTTAATTTTTCTTTCTCTGCAAAAACATTTTTTTCCTCAGAATCATAAATAACAACCATAGTTTCTGTTCCTTATACATTTCATCTTTGACTGGTAGTTGTGTTCTTCTCTTCTTTCTGTTTGGTTTAATGATGAACAAGAGATGTGAATCTTGTCTTGAGGAGGAGATATGAGATCTTTAAGCAGTGTAGGACTTGCTCTAAGCATAGTCTTTGGTTGCTTGCTACTAGCTCTCCTAGTTGAGCTCTATTACTTGCTCTGGTGTAAGAAGAGGAGGAGGAGGACTACTATACCTAATCTTCAAAATGACTATTCTACCCCTGCAAGCAGAGAGCTTCTCTTCATCTTGTGTTGCAGCACTAACACTTCTCCTTCTTCTCCTTCCTCTAACCCTAAACCTAATGAAACTCAACAGCAATGTCTTCCTCCTGATGATGCCTTTGGGAACGTCGTGGGTCCAGGGCTTGTGCCGAGGTTTCTGTTCACTATCGTGGAAGAAACAGTAGAGGAAATGGAATCTGAAGAAGGTGTTTCCACAAAAGGAAAGAGCTTGAACGATTTGTTTCTTAATATGGAAAGTGGTTCTTCTCCACCGTATCTAACTCCCCGTGCTTCTCCTTCGCTTTTCACTCCTCCTTTCACTCCGTTAACAGAGACTTGTAATGGAAGAAAAGAAGGTTTCTTCGAGTCATCGACTGATGCTGAGTTCAACAGGCTAGTGAGATCATCTCCATTGTCATCATCACCATCTTCATTGCCGAGATTTAAGTTCCTAAGAGACGCAGAGGAGAAGCTTAACAGAAGGAAAGTGATGGAGATTGAAGAAGCTGAGGAAGTCAGCAAGGGCTAAAAGTGATAAGAGTCGAGATTTTGAAGATGAAGTTTCATCAAGAATGTGACAAAAGGTGGTCCAAAAAAACGTTTTGAGTTTCAAGATTTATACAATTGAAATATCAAAATTCTTATTTTGCTAATCTTTTTCTTTGGATTTTAGTAATCTTTTGTAAATCAAATTTAGCGTTTACGTAAGCTGCCTTACCATCAAGATTTTTTTTGGTCTGGATGATTATGAAAAATAATTTGATTAGAAATATATTAAGGAATATCTAATCAAATCATGATTTTAGATAAGAATCAAAACTGTAGATGATTTTCATAACTTAGAATAAAATAACAAATTAGTGTTTTAAAGAAAAAAGAATAAAGGACACATTGGATTCGTTTTTGTTTTGTTTTTTTCGTCACAATTTCCACACCACTGTTGTAGACTAGTTGACATATGATGCACGAACTCAGCATTCTAATCCTAAACCGACTTTCACTTTTAAAAAGAAAGAATGTTAATATCATATCGAATATGTAGTTAGAAAGGTAAACAGAACACGTGAGGCGAAGAAAAGATTAAGAATCATTAAGTACTACGTACTACTAATTGGTTTTCTCGAGATCATTCGCTTCCAAACGCTAATAGTAAGAATATATTTTTTACTAACTTTGAACATGAACCGATAAACTGGAAGATTACAATAAGTAGATACAGACAAGACTCATGAAGAGACCAAGTGGGCAATCTCTTTCCCCTTCAAGATTTTGTCCTAATTTTATAGTTTGTCTGATTCTTTTCTTTTTACTATCTATCCAAGTGGCGTATATTGAGAGACAGTGATCAATAATTGAATATTTCAATCCTTATTATGCAGTGTTAATATAATGTTACAATGATGATACAAAAATGTGACTCTTGAGAGAAATGTAAATAAACAATCAGATTCCTGAGGCTGCAAGAAGTGATAGGGACCCGGTTCCTCCAAGAAGCTAAAAGTTGTGTAGCCATAGTATGAATGATACAGGTCTGGTAATTCTCCTAGATATTTACTGAACCCACTGTACTGTATGGACACAACGTTAATCACATTGTTGAATAGAAAATGTAAAAACATGAGTGAAAGACAATATACAAAAAATATCCTAACAAGTCATACACCACGGTGGACAGATCTATAGGCTGCAACTAGTTATATTATGCAGTATCTAAACAACAATAAGCTTAGTTGCAGTCTACGGATTTTTTAAAAAGGTTAAGATGAGACATTGAAGGAGAGGTACCTACGCATCGCCACTAATGAGTTTAAGGACAGCTCCAGTTAATCCTACACACATGTTAAAGGGCCTTATCAACATATAGGAACAAACAGAGACCGTGACAGCGAAAAGATGAAGGGAGTTACCAAAATGCATAACATGTATTGCTCGGTTTGTTAGTCATACCTTGAAACCCACCGTTACTGGCTTGTCTCTATAGGCAATGAATTAAAACCCGTCAGATCATTCAAGAACAAATTTTTTGGTAAATTCAAAAGACATACATGAAAATATGGAACTTCTGAAGAAATGTTTTGAAGCAATTACCTGTAGACTCCAGTTGAGAATCAATGAAGGATCTATTACTGAACTGGATGGATCATTTGACAGCAGATCAGCTCCAACAAAACCCATCATCGAAGGGATGCAATAGCACAGAAAGTACCACCACTTTCATAGCTAAGTTGTAGAACGTAGGTAAGAATCATAAACGAGCACAATCAAATGAAACTTAGCATAACGAAATCTCTTCCTGCTTATTAAATGAAGTAAAAGCCACTAATTAATTAGATGAAAAAAGCCTAGTAATCTTAGTGTCCTTATTAAAACAAGTTTAAGATTATAGTCAACTTCATGGCAGCATATGTCTAGCCGACCTATAGTCAACTTTTTTTTTCTTTCATTTTACTAGTCATCTCTTGTTACATATCTTCTAAAAATACGCGTGAATAAAACCTAATTGTTTTTTCATTAGATGTAAAAAAGATTGATAGATGGCTAAGTCCATAGATTGAATTAGATTGGACAATGAGTGCTATGATTTGGTATATATTGTGGTGCAAAAGTCACGCTGGTCGCAGACTAGTGATATCATTTGGTTCTAGTAAAACCATTGGTGAATATGCCATGAATCTGGTTGTCATTATATATATATAAATAAAAAAAAATATCCAGCACGACTGAATAATATAACTTGTGCATTTTTTCTTACCGTCTAGTTAAAGTTTGTAATTTATGATCTTTATTTGACACTGACCTTAACTCTTCTATCTCGAGTCAACGTAAATTTTGGCTATATTACTTAATGGGAATGCTGGCCGCAAGATTGGACCCCGTTTTACAAGAACCATTTCCTTGGATTTCATCAACCAGAGGACTAGTGGCACACATATGTAGCCAAACTATTGTCAACTTTTATTATACTTCTTTTAAACATTAAAACTGATTATATATGATATTCATGTTAGTTTCTTGATAAAAACAAACGACCAAATTCTTATCATTTAGTGAAACCGTGTTTTTAATTTCCACCGCTAGATGTTCAAGTCCGAATGCAAGTTGTCAGGATTGAAGTGAAGATAATCCCATTTTGAAAACCGAATAAGTGTGTTTATGTATAGTCTAAGAGAACGATTTGAAGATGTGGGTTTTGTTTATCAAAATAGCAACAACATAAAAATCTTCGTTAAACAAATGTATATTTGTTAAAAAAAAAAATTATATTTGTTTACCAAAAAAATATATTATTAAATATATGTATTTTCTCCCTTCAAGTAATAATTTAGATTACAATATTATTTTTATTTTTACGTAAATGAAATAGACTGAATAAAAATTAGTAATTTATCAATTGATTTGTAAAAACCTGATAATATATATACTTAATATACATTCTCTCTCAAATAGTTCTCTTTTAAGTTTTTATCATAAAATAGATTTCAAAACTTAAAATGACCAAAATAGCATTTTTTATTTTGAAAATTTTAAGTTTTTTTTTTTAATTTTTTTTAAATTCGATACCTTATCTCCAAAACCCACTACTCAACTCTAAACAAAAAAATAGGATTAGTTAAACCAAGGGTATAAATGTATATTTAATAAAACATTTAAGTGCTATTTTGATCATTTTAATTGTTAAGGTCTAAATGTATATTTAATAAAACATTTAAGTGCTATTTTGACCATTTTAAATATTAAACTATATATTTGTGATAAAAAAAATTTAGGTTTATTTTAGTCATGTTTATATATCATTTTTTTCTTTTACTAATATAAGATTAGTTAAACGCGTAATCAAGTTCGTCACGACTTCAATAGCACTAACATTTTTATAAAAATATTAGACGTTGACATTAATATAAAAAATAAACTCCTATTTCTCCAGTCAACATGATTCTCTTGCTTATAAATTCATTGGCATTTCACGTCTTATAATATATTAATCCTCAAGCCGTAACTCATATTCCTCTTGTAGTTTCTCGTTTTAAAAGTTCCTTAAAGATATAGTTTAAATTTTATAATCATATATGGCACCACCACCTCCTTCACCACCACCTGTTGCATTGAAGGTAGTAAACCTTCTACTGAGGGTTTTGACGGCAGTTTTTCTGGTTATATCTGTCATCGTCCTCACCACCAATAGCGTCACCATCGGAACTATCAAATTTCATTTCAATGATGTTTATGCTTATAGGTAAACTGAGCCAACCTCTTTTATTAAATTATTTGTGTCCTTTATTTTTTAGTTATCTTCTAGTTGGTTAACCGGGGCTTCTACCTCTAATGGTAAAGGGCTTACAGCTGTGAGTACCGCCACTTGGGTTCGAATCTTGACCACTGAAAAATTAACATTTCGGCATCGCCAGGGACATAGGATCGACATGTGGCAACACGTGGCTAATCTGGACCACTTCTGTGGGGCCAGGATACCTCTGTATAATTCAAAAAAAAAAAAAAAAAAATCTTCTTAGTTGGTTTTGATCAGTTGAGCCAATAGAAATCATTACATGGTTTACTGCTTTCTCTTAAACTAGGAGTTTTTTTTAATAGTAATTTTCTGTTTAGTTACTATAACTGAAATCTCATTGACTCTTTTACTTATTTTGTTTGGATTCTTGAAGATACATGCTAGCTTCTGCCGTCATCGGACTAATTTACGCTGCCATACAACTTTTCTTCACAATCTGCCAATTCGCCACCGGAGCGACAAACTCATTTAATTATCAACTTGATTTTTACGGTGACAAGGTATATATTCACTCTATTGCCAAGCGAATTTATCATCAAATACCACATAAATATTGCAATTTTTATAAATATAGAAGCTAATTTCTTGAACGTATTGATTCTTTTGAATCAGTGAAATTTGTCTTAAAATGTGCCTTTTGGTTAATGTTGATTTTTCTCTTGACAGGTAATATCATATCTAGTGGCGACGGGTTCGGCAGCTGGATTTGGAGTAACAAAAGATTTAAAAGATGTATTTATAGCAGTGGTGGCATTAGATTCAACTGATCATGTGGATGAGTTCTTCAGCAAAGGATATGCATCAGCCAGTCTTCTTCTCTTCGCTTTCCTCTGTCTCGCCATTTTATCTGTTTTCTCATCTCTCGCCATTGCCAAACGATAATTTTAAGTCTCATCCTGACAAAACAAATCGATTTATAACGTAAAATGCTATAAAAATATGATTTGATCAGATAGCTTGTCCCAGTGTTATGTGTTGTTAATCATTGCGTAAACAATGATACAACTGGTTTTGCTACCAATGTTTAATAAGTGTTGATTCAATTGTTTGTGTTAAATCTACGCCATGTTGTGATATTTGTTCTATACTTTTTTATACACGATCAGTCAGCATGTTAAAAGATATTTTTCGAATTTATAACACCCAATCATACATGTTTTGGACCAAATACAATTATATATGTGAATTAATATTTTTGACTCTTTGATGTATACTGTATATAAATATACATTGTTTTGCGTCGAGAAAAAGAATACACACTTTTGAATATTCAACCCTAGATGTCAAACTCCAACTTTATACTAGAAATTCCAAGGAGACTGGAATATCCTTGGATTTTTGAAAAGTTAGATTTCATTAAAAATCAAATACTTTCACTCTTTCAATTTTACAGCCGAGCGGTTATTCAAATATATAACCAATATTGGAAATGAGCATCTAGACTCTATAGATAAGGCCTGTATTTGAACCAGGCTCTCTTGATTGGGCTCTGCAGTGGAATGCAATCTTATGTCGCTAGAAAAACAAATATAGTTCACCAGGCTCTCTTGATTTTAAGTAACTTTGTTTAGGCCTGGATGCGTTACCAAAGTTTGGGATATGTTGACAAATAAAAAAGTTTGGGATATAAAAATGGGAAAATCAAGAAATATATATTCTACATTCGTTTGGTAAACTAGACGTGGTGATCGATCGTTTCAGCACGACTTCAATAGTATAACATACAATATACTACAATTTGGAATTCTTTAACTATATCCGTACGAAAATTAATTTGTTTGACATTGACTTTAGTTATTATCCTATCCCACCAAGATAAGTCAACTCAAATTTCTCGAGTCAGTTATAAAAATTGACATTTCATGTCTTGTATTCAAACATCTCAGGCTTTTATCTTCTTCCTACGCTTTGATTACCAGGTCTATATTAGAAAGGAACCCATTAAATGCCCTGAATAGCTACTTATTATTTACATGGCATCACCATCTCTGTCACTACCACTGGTTTCTCTGAGGGTAGTACTTCTTTTTCTTAGGGTTTTGACTGTGGTTTTCCTCGTTATAACTGTCATCATCCTTAGCACCAACAGCGTCACCATTGTATCTCAAGGAAGCTCGTCGGAATTTCATTTCAAAGATGTTTATGCCTATAGGTAACAACCTCTTGACTTTCTTTTCTTCTTGATCAGTTTACTTTCTAGAGAAATACTATTAAATATCATTAAATCATGTTTTTACGAAGATAAACTTATTAAAATAGCATTTATTAAAAATAAACACACATATATATACAGAGTCGGCCTTGGAGAGAAGCAGGTGAAGCTTGTGCTTCTGACCGTGAAATATTATCATTTAAAACGGCCACATTTGTACAGAATAATATATTTGAATTTATGGTTTAGTAAATATAGTTTAGAGTTTATTGTATTCAAGGAAGATGTATAACGCTTCTTCACCTATGAACCTTTACGCATGTTCACTCGGCTTGTGGATTCACTATCTGGCCGATGGTCATACATCTTTTTGATTTTTAAACCGAAGTTTATTAATTCATTCATTCTCTGCCATTTTTAAATTTCTTTAACTCGTTCATTCACTTGTTTTTTTTTTCCTGGATGCTTGAAGATACATGTTTTCAGCCGCCATCATCGGACTACTTTACGCTGTCATACAACTGTTCTTCGCAATCTCCGAACTGGCCACCAGAATTAAAAGCCCTTTAAATTATCAAATGGATTTTTACGGTGACAAGGTATATAATGTATTCCCAACCACATTCAACATTAGTAAGCAAAAGGAGAAACTAATGAATAGTATATAATTTTATCTTGAACGTATCAGTTCTTGTAATCAACAAAGCTTTACTGGAAATGTGTTTCCTAATTAATAGTATTTGGACAGATAATATCATATCTAGTGGCAACTGGTTCGGCAGCTGGATTTGGAGTGAGCAAAGATTTAAAAGATACATTTCTAGCATTAGTCGTATTAGATTCGACTGATCCTGTAGAAAAGCTCTTCAGAAGAGGACACGCATCAGCCAGTATGCTTCTCTTTGCTTTCTTCTGCCTCGCTCTTTTATCTGTTTTTTCATCACTCTCTATTGCCAAACACCAGTTTAGTTAAGTTCCATCATTATTCACTCATACTCTTTTCGATTTGATCATATAGCTTTGTGGCAATGTAATGTGTTGGTGCAGTTATTTAACCAATTTGAGATTGTATTTGTCAAAACCGTTTTCGAACATGTGAAAATGGTGTGGCAGACAAACAAACCCAAATGAACTGATTTTGAATAGAGCTAAAAATTATATTAGTTACTACAATTAAATTTTAGTTTTTACAATGCCAACTTCTAGAGATATTTGTAAGTAATTAACCGTATCTAACTATTTCAATATTCGAAACATATCTTGAAACAATTATGAAATCGAACAGAATATTACAAAAACAGGCAATATAAGTGGAGCAGGAATAGTATATTAGTGGTAAAGCCTAAACCACGAAACCAACCCCAAATAGCACACAACGCATATCTGAGACTTGTCTAAGCATATCTTATCTACTCTTTTCTTTTTATATTGTATACATCTTTTTCACTCTCTATGCAAAACCTTTTCTTAGACAATGCAAGTGATACTTTCCTTTTGGTAGTTCGATTTCATAGCCACAAATGCTGTCAATTCAAGCAAACATTCTAGATGATATTTTATGATTTATTGTCCATAAGAAAATTGAATAAAATTGAATTATTTACTGGCCAGTGGTGGCATGATGAATAAATTTCAGACCCCACTATACCACTTGTTTTGGCAGAGATGCGTATATGCAGAGACCATTGTTCGATTATTTCTTTAGTTATAATTTTGTGAATATGTAGTTTTCTTTAGGAGGATTTCGAATTGAATGTTGGACTAACCTACACAATTTAAGACACTGAAACTAATTAAATATAAACAATGACGAGAAGTCATTAGATCAACCGGAAATGATTATGTCTATCGTTGCAGAAGTCTCCAGTTCGAAACTATTGTACATGTTGTGGTTTCGGGTTTGAGGTGATTAGAGATTCGGCTCAAACCTCCAAATTAAAAAAAAAAATTAAAAATTAATAGACACAATGGAAAGACTAAAACCCTAATCTCTGGATATCATAGAAAAAGGGCCATTCAGCTACTAGACTACCATAATTTTTTTTTTTTTTGCCAAATAGACTATCATAAATATTGTTTTTTTTGTAAGTTTCTGATACTGTTATAATTTATCAATATGCCGTTGAATATTTGGTTTTGAGAGTTGTATTGGTCTGACTGATAAATTTGAGATATGTTTTGTTGGTTGATGTTTTCTTATCAATAGCTCTTTTATCGAATAACAATCCTAAAGATACAAAAATGGAATATGATGATGTTTTCTCATCGATAGTTATCCATTACGAATCAACCCTCAAATCAGCTCTGATGCATCCGCTACTTAAAAAGCCAGTTAAGCTTATTCGATGTCAACTCAGCTTGCCAAATTTATCCAATATGGTGGGGGAGAACCACATATTTACTCCATCTTCTTTACAGTTTTCGTGTGTAAGTTCATTGATATTCATACCTTTATAAAAAAGGTTTTTGATATGAATACACGCATGTTATATGATGTCTCAAAATTAAAGAACTTTTTTAACTTGCACATAAAGTATACTGAAAGTATTTGGATTTAAATTTAATTAACCAATCACCATTATTCATTAACATGACACATATTTGGAACAGGTAAAAGTACAAAACAAAACGAACTAAAAATGTATTTATCTTAATGTAGAAAAAGTATAGCATATTAATACACTGAGGATGGGAATATATGTCGTCAGGCACGGTTCGCCACATAACGTGGCTACGATATACAGAATCAGACTGTCAGGAATTAGCATTCGTCAGATACATCATATACTCCCTTCAGTTTTAATCATATTACTATTATTACATGCAGCGATATTGGTTCCAGGTGGAGAGAATCATAAAGTGCCAGAAATCCTCAACCACGACGTTGGCCAAAAGTTATTTTGTTTTCTTTCATCCACGTATGATCCAATTCGGATGCATTATGCAGTTTTCCATTTATTAATTAATGTGTTATGTGGACATGTATCCACATACTCTAATTGTTTTGCAGCTATCGATTGAAGTTATATTTAATTAATTTAGTGGGTACAATTATTCGTTATACCTCTATGTATATCTTCTTATCACAATCTACAAATACAAAATGCACACGTATCCATTTGTGTTCCTAAATTGAGCCTCATTATCCCATTTGTTGGCTAAATATTATATTCAGTATTTATGATGATTTGTTTTATCTTTCCCTCCATTTATATTAATTATTCTGTTAGGAATCAAAAATATTTTATACAGAACAATTATTATAACTAATATAGTTACCTATAACTTTATTCGATATTGTTCCCTAACATATTGTACCCGCTTAAGAGTTGGTAATAGGAAATCTCAAGTCGTTTACGAAATTGCTATATCAAAATTCTTTATATATGTGTACTTTTTTTATAAAGTCTAAAAAGCTATAATACTTAATACTCCATTGATAAATTAAAAGATGAGGAGGATAACCAAGCATGCGGACAACTTGATAAAAAAAAATTGTAGTCGGATAACGATTGAGCATGGTCATTTTCTGTAGGAAAAATATGTGAAATCTATGGAATCTCCAATGGTATTTAAAACAGTTGAATCTAGAGATTACTCAGTTTACTTGGTTAAAAGGACCAAATCGAAATGTTTTGCGTTTTTTTATAATTAAAAGCATGAGTTGATGTTTCCATCATCATCACGACCACCAGAAGATGATGGAAACATATCCTTTAAAAATAATTATGTATGTGTCCTTGTTATATAAACTATGATCATATCTAAAGCATGTAATAAATTCTAAGTAGTGAGAATGACATATGTACCATCCTTGCATTACTTAGTGGAATCCCTAGAATACATCCGAACCCAAAAGTCATCTTTCAAATTTTAAATTCCCATGAAAAATTACACAAAACCCTAAAAACCGTCCTATAAAACCAACCTCATACCCTTCCACATTTCTCCATCAGCTCTTTCTTACATCAGTATTCCTATATTTCTCACTTTATACCAAAGTACGTACGTAGAGTGATATATGGCTTTAAAAACATGGAAGCCATTCCTAACTGTTATTTCTCTACAATTCGGATACGCTGGACTATCTATCATAGCGAAATTCGCACTGGACCGAGGCATGAGCCCTCACGTTCTAGCTGCATATCGCCATATCGTAGCTACAATTTTCATTGCTCCATTTGCTTTTTTCTTGGATAGGTATAAAAATTGTACTATTGCCATGCATGCATGTATAATTTACGTATTGTGTACGTAAAAGCAAGCAAGTATCTGTATTTACTCATGTCTACGTATTCTTTACATGGAAAATAAAATGCTTTCTGATTAATTTGATTTGATTTGCTTTCGGAATAAGCAGAAAAGTGCGGCCAAAGATGACGCTGCCCACCTTCTTCAAGATAGCGTTGCTTGGGTTATTGGAGTAAGATTGTTTTATTACTTTTGTTTATTTGAACATTTATATATTAATTTCACATGTTTAAGTACCGAATGTTAAATTGAATTTGTGTATATATGTTAATAGACCAACAATTGATCAGAACTTATACTACACTGGTATGAAGTACACTTCCGCAACTTTCACAGCTGCAATGACCAATGTTCTTCCTGCCTTTGCCTTTCTTATGGCATGGATCTTCAGGTAATTAAACACAGTTTTCTCCTTTTAATGTGGTTAAGTTTTATTTTTTCCAGTTTGATTTTTTTGGTCTGAAGGATCACTATTTGATGTGTAGACTTGAGAAGGTTAACATCCGGAAAATACACAGCCAAGCCAAGATTCTAGGGACAGTTGTGACAGTTGGTGGAGCAATGCTTATGACAGTTGTGAAAGGACCTTTAGTTCCATTGCCTTGGGCTAATCCTAACGATAGTCATCAAGATTCATCTAATCCCGGTGTCACACCGGATCTTACAAAAGGCGCACTCCTCATCGCTGTTGGTTGCATCTGCTGGGCCGGTTTTGTCAATCTCCAAGTAAATTTTAAGACCAAGATTTACATTCAAATATATTAGAACCGGTTATTGTACTTAACCACTCAATTAATGATTCGTTAAACATATATGTAGGCTATCACGCTTAAATCGTACCCAGTGGAGCTATCCTTGACGGCTTACATATGCTTGATGGGGTCTATTGAAAGCACTATTGTGGCACTTTTTATTGAAAGGGGAAATCCTTCTGCTTGGGCTATTCAACTGGATTCCAAATTACTAGCCGCTGTTTATGGTGTAAGTATATTATACTATTATATAATCTAGGAATTGATTTGGTTTATAAATACATATAAAATTAAATGATCTTACTGTGATATGATATGATGCAGGGAGTAATATGTTCAGGTGTTGGTTACTACGTTCAAGGTGTAATAATGAAAACTAGAGGACCGGTGTTTGTGACTGCCTTCAATCCATTGAGCATGGTCATTGTTGCGATTTTGGGTTCTATAATTCTTGCTGAGGTTATGTACCTTGGAAGGTACGTAAGCTTTTGAATCCCTTGGAAATAGTTAAATGATTTTCAAATATCTTAATAATGGAAATAAATATATATATGTAGGATTCTTGGAGCAATAGTGATAGTTCTTGGACTCTATTCGGTTTTGTGGGGCAAAAGCAAAGACGAGCCATCTAGCTCGTTTTCAGACACGGACAAGGAACTCCCACTTAGTACTCCTGTGACATTCTCGTTGAGAGGAAACGCACAAATGGACACCAATGATGCAAGTATCGTGATCTCTAGGCCTAACACCAATGAATCAATCTAAAATAAACAAACCACAAACCGCGATTATATAATATAATAAACGTAAACAATGAGTCCGATTTCGAAATACTGCATCGATCGGTACTGATTTGGTTGAGTCGAAAGTGATGATGTTATTGTATTGCTAATTTTGTCTTTGTTAAGTTTTGTATCCGGCTACAATAAATGTAATGTTTTGTACTATGAGAAGCACCTTTTACGAATAATTAATACTCTAGGGCTTTTGAATTCTTCAATTATGTAACAAATTTTCAATATCATTTGGGTTTCCCATATATATTTCCAACAGCTAGCCAATAAATCTGCAGCATATATATACAAATTGCTTTATGTTTCTTTCTTTGCATACGTAATCTGTAAAAAAGTTATTGAAAAGTAATGCTTTAGAGCACGAACATGATGTAATGCGGTGGTGGGTAATGGAGCATAATGGATCTAATAAACTTTTTTTTGAATGGGACGTGTTTTGGAGATTCTGTATGTTGCGGTTTCTAATCGCCACTTATAAGAAAAAGCATCTTTGTGAGATCGATAGGTTTGTACTTGATGTGTCAGTTTTTATACTTTTGTTATATATACATCCTGAAGAGCATTCAATGTATGGTACTGGTTTTGTTGGAATATTCTTAGTTAGTGATTTTAAGATCATTTTACCATCCTACTTGACAATAGAGGTGAACTCGAGTGGAATATTCAGGTTTTTGAAAGTACTCATAAAATATTAAACAAAAGTAGATAACATAAAGTATATAGTTTTATATTTCTACATTTTTAGATATATAAGATAAACAATAATGGTGTGCTTGGTTTAGATTTTGATAAAACTTAATTAAATAAGAAATTATTGTAAAGTTAAAGAAAAGAAATTTAAATAATAAAAACTAACATTTGTAAGAGTTTGTTCTGCGCAGCAATAGGATTTTGTGTATTGATGAAACGGCACCGCTTTTGTGTGACACATGTATATATAAGAAGCATAACCTAATGTGTGTGGTATATATATATCATCTATATAGGATTTTTTTGTTTTTTGCTTTTGCTTTTTGAAATTGGAGCAACTAGGCATGGGCGTTCGGTGGCCCAATAGGTTTCGGTTCGGTTGATTCGGATTTTCGGATTTTTAGTATTGTACTCATAAGTACCATTCGGTTTTTGCTAATAATCGGATCGGGTTCGGTTCGGATCGGATTATACCCAATGTCTGAAATCTTCCAAAAATATTTTTTTTGCACTGGTTTTCACTTTAGACATACTTGGTCGCTACAAAAGGGCTTACATCATTGGAGAGGATGAGTATTTTAAACAAGTGGATCTCGGCGAAGCTGTTGTGGATTCTGATGGCTACTGTTACCCACTCGTGTGCTCTTATGTGCCAAGTTTAGTGCAAATCAACCAAGGCCTATAATACTATCAGGAAATTGGAAAGAACGATAAGTTCATTTTAATAAGTGCCGTGTTTGTTTCCGCATATCATCTCCTCTTTGTTTTTGTTTTTTTTTTGCTTTTGCTTTTTGAAATTGGAGCAACTCCATTCCTGAAATCGAAAAAAGTTCTTTGTGTAAGTTAACAAAAAAAAAAGTTCTCCGTCTACCATATTTCCCTTTGTTATTTACGCTCTTATTTTTTATGCTTTAGATGTTCAAAAGGTAATAGTTTTCTCCTTTGAACGATGTCTCACGGATTACTATTATTTATTAAACCAAGATTATGTGCGTTTACATCCTTTACTGCTTTGTATGTTGGGCGATTACTGCTCAACTATATTGGAGTAGGTTCAAACCCTCAAGCAGATTAAGAAGGTTTAAGACACCAAACATAGATTAAAAAAAAAAGTCTAACTGAAAATATATAAATTCATGAAGTAAATGTAATTATCATTATAGTTGTCTTTTAGCTCACTAAGATTAGGTTACGCTTTGAAAAAATATTGCTTCACATTTAAATTAATTTTATCCCTACGAATATTGGACACATTGAGCTTCACAAGAATTAAATGTAACTAATTTTATCATCATCACTTCGGTATAATATAGGAACGATCGTACCATCAACCATGCATGGACCGGATCATACCTCCTCGATACAGTTTTGCAAATATACTAGAAGGACATTTCGCTTAGGTTGAACTAAATTAATTAACCAAAGCAGCCTCCATCATTTGTTTGATTTATTATTCAGTAAAGCTAATGAAGCCGAATTCTAGTTTCTAAAATTTTGTTATAAAAGGAGATAAGTACAAAATGTTAGATAATATGAAAACGTGATCGGTTCCAAAAATAAATAGTGGTACAATTATCATTATCGTTGAAAATAACATAAAAGAGACTGTGATAAAGTTAAAAACGCCAAAAGGTCCAAATATGTAACATCTTGTTGATAAATTAATTTTGTGTCAAAACATGTAATGTAGTTTAGAGACAAGGTCGAGATATATCTGATATTTATTTGGTAAATTAATGGGTAATACAGTATCTTCTATTCACTGCAAGCTTAAAAAATACAAAAAAAATTAAGATTTAGATTTTAGCAGTTATCCAGATATCAAAGAATTAGTATTAGGATATAGAGAGGATTTGCAATCATAAACTATTATTTTTCAACATTCAATCATGACAAAATATTCAACATATAAAAATTGTATTAGCTATCATCTCACACACCACAAGTATATTTATTGACGGATCCAAGATTATATTTTTTTTTAGAATTGTCATTAATTAGGTTTATTCTCCCTTAAAATTAAAATGAATAATTTTTTTTAAAAAGAAATGCAAAAAAAAAGTTTAAATTCAGGTTGCTCAATTAAAGATGGGTCAAATGAGAAAGAAATAGACCACTTGAACTATAGAATTTTCAATACAAGCTAACAAATTGCTTCTTCTTTTTTTGGGTCAAAGCCAACAAATTGCTAAAATTATATTTTTAACTTGTTGCAGTTGCACCTCCTTTATTTAAGGTGGGTCTGCCTCTGAGTACATTGGTGTGTGTCTACTATGTTTTTGTCAATATATTTCATACAGAAGTATAAAAAGTCAATATTGAAATGAAGACCCTTTTGTTGAACAAAATTGAAATGAAGACCGAATCGATAAAATAGCTGTCCTACACCGACTGATATAAGGTCACGTGGCAACTAAATAGGCTTTCAACCATGAATAACCCGTATAAAATGATTATTTTTATCTTATTTTTATTACTCGAAAATAAGAAATATGTTGAAATACGTATAATGACGACATCTTAGGATATGTACTTACTACGTATACGGATGATTTTCATAAATATATATATATATATATATTGAAATCAATGAAGTGTCTCTAACAACAGAAGGAGCATGATCAACGCCAGAAGAATCAATGTATTCTTTTTTATATAAACCAAAAAAAACGTACGTACCATAAACGTACTTTCTTCAAAACCATTCAAATCATTCACGACACAATCACCATGGACAAACACGAACAAGACAACCTCTCGAGCTTACCACTAGAGCTTCTCCTCTACATCATCAGCTTTCTCCCTTTCGAGTCCACAAGACTAATCCCTTTCGTCTCCAAACGGTTTAGGTCCGTTTGGAGCCAAGCCTTGGTCCTCGCTCACATCCCCAACGGCTCCATCGAGGAGATCTCTCACGCGTTAACTAGCTTCATCCACAACTTCAACGAGCAGGATCCATCTAAAAACACACGAAAGATGGAGTTACACTTTGATAAGTCAACCTTCGTGTCAACTATCCTAGGACTTCATAACACCATGCATATGAGTTTCTTCTCTGGTGGCTCTAAGAGCGAAGAGAGCTTCTGCTGGCGTATTGAGATCAAAGATCAGATCCCGAGACGTGTCGAGTCAAAGGGTTTCTTGGTGAAGACGCTTTGTTTAGACTCGGTGGGTTCGTTAACGCACGAGGTCGTTTCCTCCATGGTGTTGGATTGTTCTTTGCTTGAGAACCTCAAGATTTGTGGTTGCAAGGATTTGACTTCTCTCACTATTGATTCACCAACTAGGCTTCTTAACTTGTCGATCTTGGATTGCCCGAAGATGAGATATCTAGATATAAGATCATCTAAGCTTAAAACTCTTCATTACCAGGGGTTTCTACCTTCGATCAAGATCCATGAACATTTTAACTTGACAAATGCGATTTTCCACGTAAGAAAAGGTCCAAGCTATTACAACAATGCTTTAGAGATCGGTCCTCTCTTGCTAGTCATCAAGAACTCTCAATCTCTTACACTTTGCAAATGGATGTTCGAGGTAACAAAGAGAATACCCATGTCTTATTTTACTATAAAATACATTCCCTCTGTTTTATGATATATATTGCTTTAGATAAAAAAAATTAAAATATATATATATTTCCCATAATATACTATCTAATATATAAAGTAGATTTAGTTCAAC